TAATAAGAAAACAGCAGGGCGAATATGGTCCCCTTGGAAGGGACCAGGGATTTATAAATGCGAAATTTAGGATGTTCCAAGGTTCTACAAACAAAGTTCGATATTTGTCGAAAAATCTTTTAGGTTTTCCTCGCTGAGGAATTCCTACTTTTGCCTGAAAAGAAAACAGTGGGGCGAATATGGTCCCCTTGGAAGGGACCAGGGACTTTATGGGCGCAAAATTTAGGAAGTTCCGAGGTTTCACAGACAAGGTTTTATGTCAAAGAACTTTTAGCTTTTTTCATAGAGGAATTCCTACTTTTGCTTGAAAAGAAAATAGCAGGGCGAATATTGTCCCCTTGGAGGGGACCAGGGACTTTATGGGCGCGAAATTCAGGAAGTTCCAAGGTTCTACAGACAAATTCGATATTTGTCGAAAATTTTTAGGTGTTCCTCACTGAGGAATTCCTACTTTTGCCCAATAAGAAAACAGCAGGGCGAATATGGTCTCTTGGAAAGGACCAGGGATTTATGGGTGCGAAATTTTCGTTCCAAGGTTTTACAGACAAAGTTTGATATCTGTCGAAAAATCCACTGAAGAATTCCTATTTTTGCCCAAAAAGAAAACAGCAGGGCGGGCATGTTCTCCTTAGAAGGGACCAGGGATTTATGGGTGCGAAATTTTCGTTCCAAGGTTTTGCAGACAAAGTTTGATATCTGTCGAAAAATCCTTTAGGTCTCTTTTTTCACTGAGTAATTCCTACTTTTGCCCAATAAGAAAACAGCAGGGCGAATATGGTCTCTTGGAAAGGACCAGGGATTTATGGGTGCGAAATTTTCGTTCCAGGGTTTTACAGACAAAGTTTGATATCTGTCGAAAAATCCACTGAAGAATTCCTATTTTTGCCCAAAAAGAAAACAGCAGGGCGGGCATGTTCTCCTTAGAAGGGACCAGGGATTTATGGGTGCGAAATTTTCGTTCCAAGGTTTTGCAGACAAAGTTTGATATCTGTCGAAAAATCCTTTAGGTCTCTTTTTTCACTGAGTAATTCCTACTTTTGCCCAATAAGAAAACAGCAGGGCGAATATGGTCCCCTTGGAAGGGACCAGGGATTTATAAATGCGAAATTTAGGATGTTCCAAGGTCCTACAAACAAAGTTCGATATTTGTCGAAAAATCTTTTAGGTTTTCCTCACTGAGGAATTCCTACTTTTGCCTGAAAAGAAAACAGCGGGGCGAATATGGTCCCCTTGGAAGGGACCAGGGACTTTATGGGCGCGAAATTTAGGAAGTTCCGAGGTTTCACAGACAAGGTTTTATGTCAAAGAACTTTTAGCTTTTTTCATAGAGGAATTCCTACTTTTGCTTGAAAAGAGAATAGCAGGGCGAATATTGTCCCCTTGGAGGGGACCAGGGACTTTATGGGCGCGAAATTTAGGAAGTTCCAAGGTTCTACTGACAAAGTTCGATATTTGTCGAAAAATCTTTTAGGTTTTCCTCACTGAAGAATTCCTACCTTTGGCCAAGAAAGAAAACGGCAGAGGGAACATGGTCTCGCTGCCAGAAAAGACCAGAGACTTAATGCGGCACAGCTTTTCCCGAAAAAATCCCGAGATTTCGTAAACAAATTTTCTGCCGAAATATGCTTTTGGATTCAACCCACTGTGCCCCCTAGAAAGAAACAAGCAGGGCGAACTTGGTCTCGCTGGCGGGAAGGAGAGGTACTTTATGCGGCAGGACTTTACCTCGAAATAATGGTGCTTAAAAAACATGATACCCTTGAGTTCTTCTACCTTAGGAATCCTACTGTTGCTCCATACCCCTCCCCCTCCTTTCGAGCTTATTATGAAAGACGGAATGACTTATACTTATTTGCGAGCTATTGCCAAAGAGACTGTTTTCTTTGGAAATATTTTTGTGAAATTTGTTGAGAACTGCTTTCAATGGAATTTGTGTACTTGAGAACCCAAATGTTTTTACTGCAAAATTGTCTTGCAGGAAACTCTTGCACTCGATATAATTTTTTACTAATACTCTGGAAGATTCCACTTTGGCAATGTGCAAAACTCATTTTCGCTGGAAAAAACGACTTGATAATAATTGCAGCAGGACACGAAATACCTTTCGCACATAGTTTTCGCAATTTTTTTGACTACTTTGAAAAATCTGCTTTTGCCCTTAGGAATGTTTTGCTGACAGCTCGACAATCCTACTGTAGAACGCTTTCACGATTACATTCCTACTTTAGGATGCTTTTACGAAAGAGATTTTTCAAGCTTGATTTTTTGGAAATCGTCAAATACTGTGAAAAAATTCCACTTTTGCTCTCAGGATTACAGTGTAAACTTTGGTTCTACTGGAAGGCGCTATTCAAGTGGTTTTTGTGACAAGATAGCATTACAAAGACCTTTTCATTTTGCTTTTGATGAAGATGCTGAAGATGCTTTTGATGTTTTTGATGCTTTTTTGCATGGTCACTTACGGATTTGGAAAACGAATCCTGTATCCTTATAAAAAGAACTTGTGAAGAAAATGTTGGTACTTCTCACAAGAGAAATGAAGGTGTACCCAAAGGGTCCCGCGAAATCTGGAAAGTCACTTTGAAATGGTGTCTGAATGTGATGGAATTTCTTACAATTTCAATTTGGACTATCAACAAGAAAGGGGTTCCGCCACACTTCTGGTCGGATTTTCTAAAATTTAGAAGGAAATGTTTGCACTGTATAATTTCGAGTGGCAGGAGGCCTTGTCACTTTTCGCAAGAATTCCTTGGAGCATCAAAGAAATATGCATGGATGGATTTTGTGGTATTATAAAGTCTGTGTTTGTTTAGTAAGAAAACTGAGGGATGCTCAAGGGGTTCTGTTTTTTTGACAGAAATTTAGAGTTGTAAGGAACTTGATTCTTTTGTTAGAAGTTTCAACCGTACCGTATCAATCATACCCTTGCTGAAACTTCAGGGGAGCGCACTTAAATTTTGATCACTTTGCTGAGGAAGCCTTGTTTGGGAAAAAATGGCAGGACTTTCCGAATAACCCATAGGTAATCCGATATGACTTTGGTCAGACTATTAGTGCTCAAAAAAGGCCGCATATTTTTGATAGTCTCGTTTGTTTTTGTACCGTAAGCTGCAACATGAAACAGAAAGTTCTTTGTCAAATGTCTATTTTTTAAGGTCATCACTTAGTAATATCCACTGTTTATGTAAAAATTGCACGCTTTGAAAAACGAGAGCCTATTGTTGGTGTGCAAATAAGTGTAGCCTTGACTCACTAATGTATTGGCCTCAACCCACTTGCTAGCGGCCCGTAGGGCCGCTAGTATATATATATATACAGGGTGTCCCAAAAAAATGTATCGAACGTTTGATCGTTAATATCTCTCTTCCCAAGAAGTCTTTTGCCTTGCTTCAGGTACCGTTTTGTAGAGCTGGCTTTAACTTAGATTTGCGTTATGGAACGAATCACCTATCTCTCTTCATTACTGTAGGATTACGGTATAAATTTGAAACATATGGTGTCAATGTGGAAAAAGCTGCCGTTTCAAAATTTCAAAAAATTGTGAAAACTTGTGTAATAGGGTTTTATGGACGCTGAGTTCAATATTCAACTATTTAAAAGATTACGAAGTTTTCTAAACGGCGTAACCGCACTTTTCAACAACATTGAAAAAAGGGCATCGGGAAGCTCGCGGGTGCTTGCTTGACCACCAATCATCCATGCCGCGAGCTGCCCGGTATAAACGAAATTAGACCCGATAAGTGACCGCGGTGCACCCTGTAAGCGCCCGATAGTTGACCCGATTAGCATGCTTGTGAGGCCTAGGAAGAGTGAAAATTCTTTTGGCGTGTCTTTCATGACAACGACTTGAGCACAAATTGAGCAACTTGTAGCTCATCTGTCGACATCATCTAATGTCGTCGATATTACTCAACCGATTGCTGAAGTTTATTACATCAGCATAAGAACTCAACTCTCCCAGATAGGACCAAATCCGAGAAGCGATACCCAGCATCATAAAGACTTAGGGTAGCCCCATCGCTGCGACGTACCTCACGAGGGTTGCGCCTTAAACTACAGCGTGTAAGAAGTGCGGCCTTTAATAGGGCCCGCGGCCCGCCGAGTGAGGTGGTTGGGCCGCGACCTTCCCGGTAATCTCTTCCCGATTTTAACTTTGGCCGCGGCGTTCCCGGTAAAATGTACATGGGCCGCGGCGTGTGCGGCTGAAATTTCAAGGGCCGCGGCGCACCATGTAACACGCTTTGAGGCCGCGAACTTTCCGATGCAATTGTCTGAGTATATATATATATATTTATATGTATATATATATACATATATATAATATATATATATATATATATGCGCGAGACTGAGTAGGAGCAAAGAATAAATGCTTATAAAAGTATACAAACGTAATATGCAGTCAAATTTGTCGGAATTTGTCCAGTGAAACCCCTTCATTGTAAGTTGGAGTTTAAATGATTATGATAAAGTTTGATATTGATCTTTGATTTGGCAAAAACCTGTTTTAGCATGAACAGTTTTTGCATTAGAAATGTGCTCACAACACGCTGTACCTGATTCTAAGGAATGGCATAAGATTCTCAATTGGTAAAGAAGAAGCGCTTTCATACAAGATTGTCAGTCTCGTGTCGGAAAAAAATTATCACACGTATGCTTCTAAAATGATCTTTTGAAGCGAGTTCTCCTGCTATGGAGAGCAAAGTGGAAACAAAAAAATTCGCCTTGGCTGGCAGTTGGGGACTGACGTACTTGGTCTCTATGAGGAACACTGGAGTCTACCTTGTATCAACCTCATGTTACAATTCGCATGTTAACACCGATATAACTGTCATTTTCTGGTGTGGTGTGGCCTTGTTTCTCTCAAAAATTCTAGAGATCAGGAGGTAAGGCTCTACGCACCATAACACTTCAATATGACTATATTTATCTGATTCAAATGCATTTGCAACAATCGTTGTGAAATATTTATGACTTTGATGTCAAATTAATATCCAAATTTAATATGGTCTAAGATTTGTTCTGTCCGATAAATGCCTGCAGTCACCAGAGAAATCGAGACGAAATTTTCTTTTTTCGATTTCGACGAACTTGCTAATGGTTGCCTGACCAACGTAGAAATACCGATTATGCCATACCTCATGTATACATGCAATCGGTGGACCATGGCTTACAAAGAGCAAATCACCTGAACAAAAATGTACAGTCATTTTCCCCTTCGCGATATCTGTAACAATTATTTTTTCATAGTAACCTAAAAAGGCAGCAAAAAATCAAATTGGCTCTACCTGGCGGCCTCGCGAACAAAGAAGAATGGAGGTTCAAAAGCCGAAACTACCGCTAAGAATGGTAACAGCGGCTGTAATAAACAGCGGTAACAGTGGTAACACGTAATAGTGGTGAGATGGGAGGTGAATTTTTTTCGCCTCACCCGTAGAAGTCAATGCTAGATTCAATCTCTTGCCCTTACGCTGGCGCATAAGGCTGCGCGACATGAAATGTTTCGAAGAGTTACTTCAAGACTTTTTTCATTGAAAATTAGGAATGATATCCCCAAAAGTCCATTTAAAAATTTGCTTTTCGCGAATTGAACGCGAATAATATGGGCTTAGTCCATGCGGTGCGATAAGATATCGTACTCGCGAGATCATTCATTCCATACAACAATGCTTTAGAAAACTAATTTAACTTGTTTCAACCCGTTTACTCATCCTTGTAAACTCATTTCCACCATACTAGTCGATATCCAGCAAATATTGACTTATATTAACCTTATTTGTGGATATTCTACTCTCCATCCCTTTACATCTTGGAAAATGCCAACTTTGCTTTTTGGGAGATACTATGAATTTGCCCTAAATCAAAGTTGTAAACCGCGGGAAGCAATTGCTATACTTGCACTGTAAAAAAAACGCTAAGATTTCTTACCTGAAAGAGAAACCTTAGAGTACGTACAACCCAGTAGCTTCGTCTCGAAATCAGGAAAATCACAGATTTACAGAAGATTGGTGGCATTGCAAATGCTTCACTTTAGCTCTTTTTCCCTTTCAAACTTCAGTCTTCAATCAACTCCAATCAAATTAACAACTTTTAAACCATTTCAAAATGCATCGGAACAGTTCTTAAAGAAAGCCTTTTTTCTGCCGATCGCATTTTTTTTCACAAATTTTTGGGTTTAATCGGTTGAGCATGTTCATGCGCGATCTGGATAAAAATTCCATAATTTTCCTTTCAATCGAAGTCGTGATTTGTATTCAAAAATAAACAGAAATTCTGCGCTTTTTGGTAGTTATTTAGAAAAGAATTTGTCTAGTCCTAGTCTCTGAATCAAGCTTCGAAAAGCTGTACCATGAACTGATTCTGAGTCTGGTCGTAAAAAATATTAAAATGTCTTTATTTAGCTACAAAAAATTTGCAAAAGTTTCAGAAGGCAGAAAAGGCAAAAATAGACGTTTTTTGGCCATCAAACAATGCTGTTTGAAAAACTAGTTGATAAAGGAATTAGCAGAATGATATTTTTCAAGTTATTTTGTTTCTTGCATTTCCATCCGAGATTAAAAAGTGAGTAACGTACGGATATTGCAGCGTAGAAAATAGAGTTACTGGCATAGCTAACGGCTTTAGTATTTCTTGCGATCATATTCCAAGTACGAGTTTTGCAGCGCCGCCTTTGAAGCTTGCAAGGGAATAGCCAGAAGTCGAAGTGGCCAAAACATACAGGCTGCATACCATTAGATACATAAAACGCTGAGCCTTTGAATGTCATTATTCTGCTAAGAGATTGTGCGTGTAAAGTGCAAACTGGCCGCACAAAGCCATTCTCGGCTCAGCGTTGGACCAAAACATGCAAGTAGATCACTTCATATGACCCATACCTAGAGATGAGCTGAAAGAGCAATAATGTGCCTAGTTTCGCAACTTTTGCATACGGTTTTTCGCAGTAAAGCTGCTCATAACTTCGCCTACAAAGGCGCTCTGCAGATATGGAAAACAAATTTGAAATCAGCATTCTATGCTGCATCGAAGCTTGTATGGATTGGCCACTTCGACTCGTGACCATTCCCTGGTTAGTCCTCCGAAAGGTCAACAAAAGTAGCTTTTCTATAACTATCGTAAAACGCGAACCTTTTCTACTTTTTGATCTACAAGCACAAATTTAGGTTTAGGATGTGATGATTTAAAGGTAAAATGAATTTATTGCATTGCTCAGGCATTTTCGCATCAACCTGACTTTTTGAAAGCTAAGTTCGTTAGTAGATATACAAAAATGGATTCGGCTTTCCTCCGTGATTTTCGAAGCGCTCTGAATGAGTTTGGAAGAAACATATATTTCATAATTCATGAAAAAGATGAAATTTTCCCCGTTCACTTATTACCATAAAACTGGCTAGGAACCACTCTCAAAAATTTACAATCAAAAATGGGAGAAAAGGTCAAAAATGGATTTAGTCCCAGCACATTTGGCTGTTGGGAGTAAAATGGGCTTGTCAGAAAACTAGCGAGGAATGAGCACAAAGGTGAACTCCATTTTACCCCATTTTAAATGGCTTTTGACGTCATCTTCAGCGAGCGTAGCTCAAGTGAGCATAAATCATTTTCATTTCACCGCTTTGCCTCGCGGTTGCGGTGGGATGGAAATTTTGGATATTGCAAGCGGAAGGCGATTTCGACCAGTTTCTACCTCGAACGAATAAAACGGACTAAGAACGTCCATTTTCCTCCATTATGGACTTTCGTGGATATGATTTCAGATCATGCTAGTTCACAATGATGCGCCCCAGGGCAGTGTGTGTCCATCTCGCGTTCGGGTAAATGTTTCAGCAAAGGTCGTACTCTTAGAAGTGGACGCTCACGCCCACTAAACGTCGTGGATGCCTGACGTGCAAAAGCTCGATCAGGCGGAATCAGGTAGGCCTACAACGCCTCGTTACCTAACAATCTCGCTTGACTACAAGTCAAATAGTGCGTCCATTCAGAAAGATGGCCGAAAACATTGGTAAATTAAAAGATTTACTCACTGGTCAACAAGTAAGATTTGATAATTGTTATGCTGTAAGATATTTGTCGTTTGAGAATCAAGTTGATCTGATTCGAGATTCACGAGAGATTCGGAGCCGAGACTGGAGAGATTGGACTCTGAAGCTCTTGTGAATTACTCAATCAAATCAAATCAAATCTCTTGCAACATGACACCTACCATATCTTACTTGACTAGTAGATAAAAAAGACACGCTACTCAATGCAATTTGTAGTCAAGCGATCGGGTAAGCAACCAGAGACCGTATTCATCATTAAACTGAGGTAAATTCGACCTTGAGATAAACTCTACCTTAAGGTACCTTGTACCTTGAGCAATCAGTATTCATCTAGGTAAATTCTACCTTTGCCAGCGTGCTATACACTGACGTTTATTCCGGACACGGACGTCTTAGCGGAGCATGAAGTTTCTCATTGCCAATAAAACTCTTGCTAGGACAAAATTAATTGTTGTTTGTCTCCTCGGGACTCGACCGGACATGTTTTGACAGGACGGCTTGAAGGGCCCGCACATGCTCGAACATGATAAATTCAGAAGCTCTCATGTTAGATCAAGGAGATTTGTAGCCATTTTCTCCGTTTAAACTACATGTTTCGACAAAAGATGAGTTCGCACCTCATCTTCTAACTTATAAAGGGAGGTTATCAAGTTGTAGTGGCATCGAAAAAATATGTAGAAGGTGTCCCAAAGTCTTTAGACCAACTTTGCAACACTGTAAGTTTGTTCATATCCTTCGCATTTGAACCAGATTTTGCCAGTGAGGTTGTCGCGAAAATGCCATTACTCCATTTTGAAAAAAAAACTTGATATTTGCATCGTGCATTCTCAAGTGACGTTTTTCGAGAAAAAAAACGGAACTACGATTTTGAGGTTAAGCCAAACAAATAGGACTTACTGTTCGAATACGTACAATCGATGATATTCGCTAATCTTCAACAACACTAATACCTAATCAATCTTAGTGGCGAATTTCGGCTATGAGGCTTGCATTTTCTACCAAAACATCGTCGGATAGTCACGCCCGCACCATAATCACTGTTTTTTATTGTGCTTGAGAAGTTTATATAACCTAGTTCCTAAGTTTGAAAGGTTCTTGTCTCGTTTGGCTTGCATTATTTATATGTTATTTGGCCCTTTCTAAAGTCTGGTACAAGGACTGCTCAAAGAAATAGAAAAAAAACTTGTCAATAACCTTATTGCAGACCACAGTGATTTTTCCAGAATGTGTAATGGCGCGTAGCGCTTTCGGGCGCTCTGCTTTTTAGCGTTTTAGCCAGCGCCATACTTGATCCGCTTGATCCGCTTTATCCATTTCGCTATTGGTCAAAACAGCAAGATAACCAATAGCAAAGTGGATCAAGCTGATCAAGCGCATCAAGTGAAACATTCATCGCTCTTGGTCAGTTCACTAATTTAGCAGACAGAAGAGGATGAAGTGGATCAAGCGGATCAAGTGGGTTACGTATGGCGCGTGCGTTTTGGACACTTCAAAGCTCTTTTGGCATTTGGCCAGTCCCTTGATAAATGAATTAATTTTATTCAGTACATCCTTCAGCGCTTTTAACTAATGATGATATTAGAATGGACTCTACTGCAAATGCAATTTACCTTGAGCTCTCCTCAAGGTACAATTTACCTCAAGGTATAATTTTCGTATCTATCAAAGTTTTTCTCTCAAGGTTAAATTCACCTGTGCCAGCTTGATAAGGACTGATGTATAATAGGAACGTGGCATGACGTACGCAGTAAATTGCTTTTTTATCCGCATGATTTGCACAATAAACTTCTTGCCTTTAGGTTTCAAAGCGTTACTGTTAGCAGGGCTAGGAGGTAGCTTTTGGGAAATGAAAAAGTCCCCTTTGACTTTAGCGAATTTTTACGAAGTCTCTTTTGATCCTAAACTCTAAACGTAAAAGATCCTCAAAAACGAAAAGTTGACTAAAAAAGCTTCACAATTTTTCTGTCTTTTCGGCCTCAAACAATACCCTATTTGCTTTTTGTCCAAACGATATCCAGCTTGCTTACAAGCCACTTGTGCCGAACCCTGAACGTTAGTGATTTCGAAACGGTTTTGTCTATGTTATCAGCAATCCCAGGCTCTAAGGTTTTTATCTAACGGGTTAATTGTTTTCATAGTTTATTTTAGATTCGTAACGTTCATTCTTCGACAATAAAATCTGCTAATCTAAAGAAATCCCTCCTTGTTCAGTCAACGACCAATATCGCAACAATCGGTTCCAACTTTTTGACATAATATTTCAGCCAAGGTTGGAAAACTTTCGCCTACTTTTTTATGACGTAACATCGACTGAGAGTGCACTGAATTTTGCCGAATTTTTGCTTCATATTTTGACATCTGCCTCCCACCGATCTCCCTCATAGAGGGATCACAGCCGGTCAGTCGCTAGGCTACGTAGGACGTCCCCAAATGGCGGAAAGGGGGATAATTGCCGACCAAAAGCGACCACGCGCCTGTTCTGATAAGCAAGCGGAGTCTGGGGACGGACTCTTTGCCTCCACTAAAAGATTGCATTCTAATTTTCCCGGTAGTTGTGTGTGGGGAGATGAGTTCGGAGTCGCCTCGCCTCCAACAAATAAGCTCCAATCGTCCCTCGCGGAGGTTTTGAGCCCAACAAGCCCAACAGCCTATCCTTGCGAGTAAAATTGTTTGATACAGTGCCATTATAGAAAGCTCCTTTAATCTTAGAAGAGCCACTGATAAGGCAGCGCCAGTGGGGACAAGGTTCGAAAGGCGATCTAGGCTGCCAAAAACGAGACGGACAATGATGACCATCTGTACTTACAACGCAAAAACGCTGGCATCGGACGCATCTATCGAAGATCTCATGATGCAAGTAAGGAGGATCAAGTACGACTTCATCGGACTGACCGAGACAAGGAGGCACCACCCGCTGAACGCCACATTTGAGACTGGAGAAGAACAGTTTCTAGAAACATGCGACAGTTGAGGAATAGGTGGAGGTGGGAGTCCTCGTCAAGACGACTTTGGCCATGAGCATCGATTCTTTCGAACAACTCACAACTCGTATCGGACGTTTGCGAATATCAAGATGTGTATCTATCCCTACCTTGACCGTTTTCATTGCGCACGTCCCAACATCCAGCTACAGGACGAACTCGAGGCATTTTGTATGGACTTGGAGAAGTTCTACAGAGAAGATCATACCTTCTACAAGATCATCGTCGGTGACTTCAACGCGAAGATCGCGACTAGAAAATCTATTGCGGAACTTCACATTGGAACCCATGGTTTACAGTGGAACGAACAAGAGGAGAGTCTGCGCAACCCCCAGATACTTTTCGCTGAGAGGAAGTACCTCAAACGTGAGTAATTAAGCCATCGATGACACATCTGCCATGTAGAGTCTCACCTTTGCTCGGCGTATGAAACTGCTTAGAAAACCGTCCAAACGCCAACTGACAAATTTGACCAGCCCACGCTGCAAGAGATTATTTGACGAGCGCCTGCTGAAAATTCTGTGTTGCTGCCCGCTGGCAGAACATTAGACAGTAAAGGAAGTACCGCTCGCTGAAGGTTTGGCCACGCCCCAAAATTCTGCTGACCGCTTGCAGAAAAGCTCGAGTTTGCTGACCGCCTGCCCCCGGCGATTATCTGAGCACATCCACCTTCTACCACGCCATCTCAGGGAGGACGAGTATGTCGCACCGTCTGTTCTTCCTTCCAAAATTCCTCATGCTATCATGTCGATGGAGAACCGTACAGCACCAGGTTCCGATAAGATTAAGCAAAACATCTGAAGCTTTCGCCAGTATTCATTAAAATCTTGGCGAGGCTCTTCACGCGGTACCTGACGGAAGACAAGGTTCCAAGACAATGGAAGACCAGCAAGACCGTGTTGTTGTACAAGGGAGATCCCTGCGACATTGGCAGTTATCGCCCTATCTGCCTGTTGTCTGTAGTCTACAAATTCTTTACGCGAGTTATTCTCAACAGGATCGCAAGAGTGTTAGACAAAGGACAACCATGCGAGCAAACTGTTCGCAGATGATCCAGCACGATAGACACATACACACGGTGTCAAGGCTCATCGAAGTGTCACGAGAGTATAAGATGCCGCTCCGTCTTACCTTAACCAACTTGCAGAAGATCTTTGACTCGGTTGAGGCTGATGCCGTCATCGATGCCTTGAGCAACCAAGGTATCCCTGCTCGTTACATCAAGAGGATTCGTAAGCTGTATAGCGACTTCACAACCATTATTACCCCATTCTACAAGGACATTATAGTTGACGAGAAGAGAGGCGTGCGACAAGGCGATACTATATCGCCGGAACTATTCACTGAAGAACGTCATGCATAAGTTGGAATGGAACAACATGGGAGTGAAAAGTCAACGGCCGGCAACTACACCACCTTCGCTTTGCTGATGACGTATTGATAACACCACATCATGCAGGTGGAACAAATGCTGGCCCAGTTCGACGAAGTGTGTGGAAAGATCGGTCTACGGCTGAATCTAACGAAGACGGTGTTCATGAGGAACGGAAGAGTGCCTGATGCTCCCTTCATGGTCAACGGGAGGAACATTACCGAATGCTCAATCTACACCTACCTAGGTCGTGACTATCTAGCTTCGGAAATGAGCAGGAGGAAACGTGCAGTATGGAATGCATATACGACAGTTGAGGACATAGTGAAGAATTCCAAGAACATCCGGCTCCGCGCCCACTTTTCAACTCGACAGTTCCCGCTTTGACTTACGCTTCAGAAACATGGACAATGAGAAAGCAGGATGAACACGTGGTTAGCGTCATCGAACGTGCTGTTGAGAGAGTGATGTTAGGAGTGAACCGACTTACGCAAGTGAGGCAACGATTACGAAGTTCTACCCTACGTCAACGATCCAAGATCAGGGACGCTGCCGCGTACGCCAAACAGGACAAGATGGGCCATGCACGTAATGCGTTCCGACGACAAACGGTGGACGAGAGCTGTAACAGATTGGATACTGGACGTCAAACGCGAACGAGGAAGACCGCCGACGCGATAGTCGGATATATTCACGAAGTCCTCTAATGAAGTTCCTCAAAGCCTTCCAAGTATTCCGGGTGCCATACGTAAACATTGGTCAACAGTTGTCCGAGACAGGGACGAATGGAGGCATTGCTGGTACCTGCTCGTGCAACACGATGATCAACGGGAATACAGATGATACAGGTAATTTTGGCATCCCTCCAGTCTGTTAAGACTGATGATTTTTCGGAAAGTCGTGGAGTTTGTGGAGCTTTCAACACCAAGCATAAACTTGTGAAGTTTGATTAAGCTAAAACTCAGTTTTTTGCTTTCGAGAAAACTTGCATGCCATCTCGGAGAGCATGATAATCTAATTTTGAGGTTGCTTTCCTTGTCTGCAGAGCATTCCTGGGAGATGAGATGTGAGGGATTATAGGTGCAAAAAATTGAAGGAGTGACTAGGATAAAACCAGTCGTTGAGATTTGTTAGTTAAAATGAGGCGGCGGTGAGTGAGGCTATATTCAAACTAAGCGTATCTACTGCAGTGCCCTGGCAATCATCACTGCTGCATTTGAGGTTTAGGGAGAATATTGCGCGGTTTTATATAGGTGGGGCACTCAATTTTTTACTCTGAAACGCTCATAACTTCCCGTCCAGGAACGCTCCGCAGATGGTAAACATCTTTATTTGAAAAGTCATTCTAACCAGACATCCTTCTCTTGTAAGTGGAATGTGCAAATGATTTTTTAGGCATGATTCTCACATTCAACACTGCACCCTTACAGGCACTAAAGCATGAACAAGTTGTTATCAATGCTCACCTGTGTACTTTTCAGTAAGTTGAGTGATGGTGTAACGAATTCTTGGTGTGCAAGCTTGATCTCCGAACTCGGCTTTGGGCAAATGTCGCTTCAATGGAATAATTCGTAAAAACGGTTATGATCAGGGTCAAGCAAGAGGTGTGGCACGCGATCGCTGATTACAACCCCCCCCCCTCTAACTCCTGTCTCAATAAGACCCCCTGAACTATGTACCTAAGACAGCATTATCTGAAGGCTCTGTCAAACATAACGGACAACATATCCATAATTAGCATGTCAATTAACCCATGTAGACAAAGTTTAAGCGAATTCTGAAGTTCACCTAAAATGGTCATTTTCCAACATGATCAACTATGTTTCAAAGGTGGACTAGCTACCCGTTCCTGCATTCAAAACAAAGCGCTACTCCTTATCTGTCCACTTCAGAAATCTCGCTCAAAACACCTCCAAACTATGGAATTAGAAGCTAAACAAAATCTCGTTTTTCCCATTTTTCGCTTTTGATGGCTATGCTTTCACCAAATATTACTCAGCGCTCAGATGATGAACCAGACTTAAATCACTCCTGTGAAATCTGCGAGGTTTAGGCTATCGTTTCATATAAGTACTGTTCGCTAAAAAGGTTTTTGATATAGTTAATGGGGTGTGGCACAACCTCTCGAAAGCAAAACCTTTTTAGTGAACAGTATTTATATGAAACGATAGCCTAAACCTCGCAAATTTCAGAGGAGTGATTTAAGCCTGATTCATCGTCTTAGCGCTGAGTAATATTTGGTGAAGCACAGCCATCAAAAGCGAAAAATGGGAAAAGCGAGAATTTGGTTTGCTTCTAATTCCATAGTTTGGATGTGTTTTGAAGCGAGATTTCTGAGATGGACAGATAAGGAGTAGTTTGTCTTGAGTGCAGAAACCGGTAGCTAGTTCCCTTTGAAACATAGTTAATCATGTTGGAAAATGACCATTTCACTTAGGTGGCCCATGTCTTGAAGCTTCAGTATTCGCTCAAACTTTGTTAACACGGGTAATTAACATGCAAATTATGGATATGATACTGGTTAAGTTTCTAGCACCTCTATATTATGCTAGAGTAGTTAATATCTAATGTGCTTGTATTTCGCATACCTGACAAGCTGCTTACCAATATCATGTTATACAATTATCAGATTACTCAACCACGACCCCCTCCCCTTTTGACTCGTCAATACGACCCCAGCTGTGGCGTGCCACACCCCACGCTTGACCCTAGTTATGGCTGTCCTACTGAGGCTCCCGCCAGAGTGCCGAAGTTATGCCAGCGCTACGCCAGCATTTCGATCGATACACGTGTGTTTTGTTGGGGCGGGGCTAGCTGACGTCCCCAACGAAATACACGTGTATCGATCGAAATGCTGGCGTAGCGCTGGCATAACTTCGGCACTCTGGCGGGAGCCTGAGCTCCAGTAAAGAGAAGCAACGAAACGTGTAAAGTACATTTGCATTTGGGTTTGATAGGAGAGCTGACTATCCTCTATGTAAATGCTGGCTTTTCGAGATTCAGAAGTAAAAAGCATTGGGTTAAGTCGGCTGCTGAACTAGAAAGAGAGAAAGAGGGTGAGGAATATAGCATATAAAGAATTATCTTAGGTTTGATGGATTCTTGTGATTGTCTTTTCCTTACTTTTTCTTTTTCAGATTAATGGTTTAATTAACGTAAACACAACTGACGCGATCTTGTGTGTTTAATTAAAAATGAAGAAATTTTTTTCTAGTGCTTATATGTTGTTTCAAATCAAAGGAAAAAGTTCCAACTATAATGCACTTCACAACAATATTTTCTCTGCAAGAGGGTGGTCAAATTCAATGCCCGTCAGAGAATGTTTCTAGAGGGCCGGAGACAGAGATCTCGAGTGAGCAGTGCCGCTAGCCACTCTTTTGAAAAAGATGTTTCCGAAATTTGCGAGATTCTTCAACGAAACCAAACTAACCATTCAAACTAAACTTTAACATTTTTTTTGAAACACAACAAGTCCTTTGCATAACCGTTGAGAAACGCGTTTTGCTTTTTCCTAGATCCCTCCTTCCCCCTCCCCCCCCCCCCCTCCCCGCCTCCCTCCGTTTCTTTGGTCCACCGCTGTTAAATTGTCATACACGAAGCCATTGATCGCAAGACCGATACGGTTCTATCCAAAATCGTTTTCTCAGAATGTGTATACATCCACTCAGTCAACTTTTTATTATTCAAAGCATATTCGTTTCTGGATTACTACGTCTGAGTGAAACAGGTCAATTTTACGCCTGCCTTTTGATCAAATGCGGTGAACCAGCAAGACGCAGATTAGAATAGGTGGTGCTTTTCTCACAAAAAGTATTTATCATCACTATTTCCTGTTTTCTGACTCTTGAGTAGAACGGTATCTAGATGTTTTGAAATAGAATCTCAAGATTACCTAAGGTATAGTTTGCAAACTTGATCATCAACTAACTCTTGGATAAATCGGTGCATAGTCGCTGTCCACAAGTGGATATTTGAGTCTTAGTTTATCGGACTCCCAAAAAGAAGGAGGATCTTCGCAATGATGGAGTGACTCGCAAAGTCCTGGTTCTGGCTGTAAATATGAGCATAAAATGGATGTAGCATTCGACTCAGATGTTATATCTACTTTAACTTGCAAGCCTTGGTCTTTTACAATAATGCAAGCTGTTTCAATGGTTCTGTCATATGGAGACGCAAATACATTAGAAAGCTTAATGTTTTGGAACCTGCAACGTTTTCCCAATTGTTGTGGATGACATAATCAGCAGAAAAAAGATACAACTAGCTTTGTGACCTTTTGGAACACTCTTTAGCCTGTTGACGTCCACGTTCGCTAAGCATCGTGTTATCAGACTTCAGACCTCGTGCCGCCGCTAATGTCTCCCAGTTTTCGTTGACATTATCTTCTCTAATAAATTGTGCCACCATGAGCTCAAAAAGATAGGTCGCACCTTTCCGCGTGTCGAACAACCCATACTATCCGACCCGTCATGAAGCATATACAGCAAATGTAAAAATGAAAATGAAAGCTACTCGAAGCTACTATTTAGGCGATTCAGTTGTCACGCCATTAAATCCTCCGCTAAGAGTGGCTTAAGGGCCGGCATACTTCACGTTTCATCGCGACGTGATTTGCCAGAAGTCTTCAGATTCAACACTAGCAAAATGTTAACGTGGATTGATAGTATGCCCTATATTCTGTACATTTGAATTGTGCTTACAACGAGTTATGGACAGTTGGAATATTGCCAAATCGCGTCGATCGATCGCCTAAGTATGCCCGGCCCTTTATTCTACTAGCTGTTGTGTTCATCATTTCACGACAATGCAAAGCTTGTGTGTGATTACCCGAATCTATTGATTTTTAATGGAGGTTCCAAGACTCTCGCTGGATTGGGGGGGGGGGAGGGAGATATCTACAGATTACCACAATTTCATAATTCATGTAAGTAGATTTCAGACGCCACTATTCTCCGTGGAGTCCCGCCCCCCCCCCATCTTAGGCCTCGGGCATAGTTCATGCAATTCCATTGCCTCGTGATTCTCCCAACAAACAACTTTATGAGTCCATTGCATGACGAAATTCCTGCATCTTCTTGCGATATTTCCGACACAACTAATCATGAATATCTACTACAACCTAAATACAAGGTGACCGATGTGCAATCGACTCGTAGCAGTTGCCTTGTCTGGGAAATCATGAGGTGACGAAATCTATGGCCGTATTTATAAACGAACCTTGAGGTCAAAATCTACTGTGATAGCACACATTGATGTAGATTTCAACCTAAAGGTAATTTTGCTGTCACAAATCTACCTAAAATTTAAAATTCACTTGGTATTTAGTTGAATGCTCAGGGGAGTGACACGATGTATTAGCGGTGTATGCGGTCCCTCGCTCTTGATGGTATTGGTGATATACTAGATCAGTCCGAAAGTTCTTTCCGTTTCGTTCAACTTGTCATAAAACACGTGGAATAAAGGCAAGCAAATGCTCTAAGCACTATCGGACGCAATTTTCTTCCTCTTTCCAGCAGTCATGTCATGGGACCATTTGCTTTGGAGTTTCTGAGAAAATTGCCGAAATTTCAAACTCATGGTTCTTACCATGCAAAACTTTGGCAATTTTTCAAAACCTTCATTTTAGATTTTTGGAAAAGCTTTGATAGCATTCAGGTAGCATAAACAAAGTGCAATGTAATGCAATTTTCTCGCACCTCCAATAAGCTTCTTAGTATTTTTAGAATAACTTTTTCAAAAGCCTTTATTTTTGCAAAGTCGCAGCACGCTAAGACTTCAAACGCTAACAATCGTCGGGATTTGAAACTTGAAAAGATTGATTGTGATAAGACACTAACTTTACAAAGCACTAGAGCGTTTGCCGCCTCGAAATATCAAATCTCGCATTCTACGGGACAGCATGAAGCCGGCTAAAAATCAGGACTTTTGATAATTTTGTCGCCATATACTCCGCGAATTGCGAAGGAAAAAGTCTATAAAAAAAGGAGAAAAAGGTGCATAGAATAACATCTTACAAGGAAAGGAAGGTTGGTCGAAGCAGCCTTTTGTAAAGAGATGTACACTGTCTTGTAGAGCTTGCAATGCTGATTCTGAATCTACCTTTGCTATCTGCTGCGGGCCTCTGGGCGAGGAGTTATGAAAGTTTTAGTGAGTAAAAATCTGAATGCAAGAATAGGCTAAAATCAGTCGTAACATTTTTTATAGGGCTAAATTGGTAGTCGGGTCACTCGGTGCAACAGATATTCTTGATTCAAATGTACCAATTCGCTGCTGCCTCATTTGATCGGGAAAAGGTTACGACTGATTTTACCCTATTTTTGCATTCAGATTTTTACTCACAAAAACCTTTATAACTCCTCGCACAGAAGCCAGCAGCAGATAGCGAAGGTAGATTTGGAATCAGCGTTCCAAGCTCTACAAGGCAGTATACACTTCATTTCGAAAGGCCACTTCGACCAACCTTCTTTCCCTTGTTGGTTGGCTCCGTTTGATGTTTTGTGAGTTTTGAGATAACCAAAAGTGAGATTTGATAGCATCAAAAATATAATTCTAAAGATTTTGGAAAGGCACCTATTGGGGCCAAAAAATTTCACTGCGTTGCACTTTGTTTACGCTATCCAAATGCTTTCAAAGCTTTTCCAAAATTTGTTCGTTAGGTTGTTAGTGTGTTATAGAAACGCCAACCGTTGCACCGATTAAGCTGAAACTTCGCACATGTATGTTTTCGACCCTGCGGTGGCTTACGGCTACTTTTCGCCACGATTCACTGAGTCCGTCTATCAATTTATTGATTTCATTATTTGAATCTAAGAAAATGAAAGCATCCATTATCGAACCATTTTTCCAAGTCAAGCAGGAAGGGCGGTAATGATCATTTACACTTTGCGGTGAGGAGGATGCGGTCTCACGCCAGGCAGCTGAAGGGAGACATTTTTACTTCGGAAGCGCTGCTGCAGGATAGAAGCAGGAGCAGGGAAGAAGAACAGGTATAGCACCGGTTCAGAGTAAGGCAGCCAAAGAAGAGAAGCTAAGTAATTGAACTTTGCGGGCCAAATATTATTGAGTTGAGCTGAAAAGATTACTACTATTGCGATTTTCTGGTCCAGTGTGAACCCACACTCCGGGCTAGACCGCGGACGCCGGCTAGTTGGTGATACCTTTGACTGCTAAATTAGCACAGCCTTGCATCCCGTGAGTCCACATTACCATGTTTTGGCAGGAAAGCACTCTAGAGCCTATGCAATTAGATCATCTGGTTGGGCGTGGCAAATGAAGAATGTAAGTAGATCTGAACTAATCATAGGAACCGCAAGGCGGCTTCTGTGCTTCTGCGCTGCCAGTGTTGGTGAAAATAATTGTCGCATCAACTGTAATACCGCCTCCCGACAGCAAAATTAAGCTTTGATGAAAAAACGTGGCATAATCTCTTTCTGCCGCTTGCGACGATGATGAAAATACCTTCAAGGTTAACGAGTTGCGTAAAACCCTGGGCAGTGCTCACGCGACCGAGTCGTCGCAATCTCCAATCGCGGCGACTTGAGCGAGACTGGCGACTGGACGCGACGACTGAGTCGCTCAGTCGCCGGAGGCGTGCATAGCTCCGACGCGATTTCATGCACGCACAACACTTCAAACATTGCACGTACTCTAATTGATTACTGAAAATCAGTGCTCTCTTTGAAGTTTGTTTCTGCAATATCTGGCTTTCACATTATTTATGAAATTTCACTATACCGCTAAAATGTGTAGCTTTTGATTTCAATTGGTTGATTGGATTTCAAGATAAACGCTCTTGCTTCTTCTGAATGCAAACAGAGGTTTGACAATTTCAGAATTATGCCTGCAAGTTCGAGAACAAACGCTTTGGCAAATTTGAACTCTTCGCAGTTTAGCGAAGAAGTGACGGCTCTCACTGAAAAAGCGAGGAAGCCTTGTGTGAACCCCTAATTTCCTAGGCATAATTTGGCATTTGCGACATTCCGCGCAAAAACACTCATAACTCGCAAAAAACAGCAACTCACAACAACAACACCAAAAATGCATTTCGGAATCGGCGCGACGGTCACCCCGTCGCTCGTCGCAAACGACCGAAGCACATCGCGCCAATTCGGCAGAATCGCGACGATATCGCCAGGTGAGCTATGAACGCCGAAAAGTGCGGCGTGATCCGTTGCGCCGTGCAGCCACCACAAACGCTTCGGGACCCACACAGTTAACAGCGTGGCGTGGAACACTTGTCCAAAATGGCAAGGCGTGACGCGACGAAATCGCATGAGCTCTGCCCAGACCCTAAGAGCGAATAATCTATCCAAGTTCTTCTCCTGAAGTCGAATGCTATTTCCACTGCGTAGAAAACATTGTGGCATAATGAGATCGTGGCTAGCAAACGAAGGGGCATGGGTACCATCTCCTTAGATAACAATTTGTTTAGATTCATTCGTTGTGCAGTACTTGACGATATTCTGTTTTGCACATATGGCAATGTTCATGGAGTTTTGGGCTCTCCCCGGCAGGCCGGTGGGTATGTACCCGCCGTCGTTTGCTTGTTTGAATACTTTAAGATCGTTTGCTGGCTAACGCGGGGGCATGGGTTCCATCTCTGTGGATATAACTCATCATTGACATTCCTAATATCCAGCAGTCTTCTTGCAAGCTAAGTCGTTATTCTTTAGTTCTATGAAGTCTGGGCCTGAAGCATATGATGTTCTGTTGTTATTCGTGCTTTGTGTAAAACTAACAATTACACTGTTTGTTTCTGTTTTTTTTATGGTACGCCTTGAGCGTATTTAATGAAAATGAAAATGAAAATAATAAATTACGAATTGCTAATTTACCTTCCGAAAAAGGGTCTGCATGTTTAATTATTTGATTTGAGCTTCAATCATAATCACTCAGCGCATTACTTGGAAGAAAAGGTGGTACATTGGTATGGTATGTCTCAAGTGCAAGTTCTAAGGTTGCAATAATTGTAGCCAGTCAATCACATACAGTGTCTTTATCGGATTACAAAGACGGTTTTGAAAGGCTTCAATGTTGCCAATGTAATTTCATAATAAGCTCTACTAAGCGCCATTGGCAAAACATCATGTTTACACTACCATCCAAACTCGGTATCGCCAATAGGAAATCTAGCTGAGTAAATTCAAGCAAGAGAATTTGACAAATTCATGGTAATCCAGCGGGTTTCCTCCATTGGGTTACCTGTTGCATTTAGTGTCGAAAGAGCAGCAATCCAATTTGCTTTCAAAGCGCAAACATGGTTGAATCTTTATAAAACTGAACACTGCCCTTCTAGGACACATAAGCATGGCCGTTTTAGATTAGCGATAGAATTTTACAGGTTCCTTTTTTGAGTGTAAGTAAGGCATCGGGCAGAGTTTACGTGTTTTTTTCATCGCCGCGATTCTTCAACAAGACAAACAGTTACGAGTCCACTGCATTCCGAGCATCTTGCATTTCGGTTGCGACAGT